TCGGTAGAGCCTATTCCAAAATCGAAAAACCCTCACACACTAGTTTCCTCGAATGCAAACACATTGCAAACATCATTTTTCTTATTTGCCTTACTATGTTAGAGGTTCCTTTTGTAATTTTGTCAATATCTATACCGATCAAAAGAAAATGTAGGGTGCATTTGCTCTTTTGGCAGGATAAAAACTCTATAATTATGCATAGGTATTGCAATGTATTCCCAAAACTACACAAAGATATGACGGAAATGACAATTATGTCCTAGTGTGGTTTGTATGTGATACGTAATAATGGATGAAAGTAAATGGCTTGAATGAGAAGGACCAAGAACGAAACATACTAACCCAACGATTTGACAAAAAAATTTAATTGAATTACAAAATTAAATTGAAGTGTAATTTTCACCTGCTTGGTATTGATGTAATTTAGTCCTTTTTATTTTTCTATATGAATATGAATGTCAAGATAAAATTTAGACATTTAAATATATAATTCTAAATTTCATATCATTAAGAAATTATATTTACAGGAAGTAATAAAAAAGTTATTATTTTTTTTTACAAATAATCCAAAGATATATCTTATTTTCTGACCGGATAAAACGGATTGTGCATTGACCTGTCCATTTCAAGCAATTACTACATTCATACGAGGTCAATATCGTAATTTCGTGGGATTTAACCCTAAAAGGAGCCGAACATACAAAGTTACGTCTACTACAACTAAACACGCCGCTATGGATCCTTACGCATCTATGGATACCCTGTTGCTACTTCAGGTTCTATTTTGCATTTCTCTACAGATTTTCTCAAATTCTGATTCAATTTCTGTAAATCGCATCATCAAAATCGTTCTTTATTCTTAGTGGAGTTTATCATCGTTGATTTCTTAGTCGGATTCAGTATGTATATATTGTTTTCGATGGATCAAGATGATGAAATACCGAAGAGTTTTCTGATTTTGGTTTAAAGTTCATCTGCCGTGATTTCTTTGTTTAAAATGTTTGTGTCATTCGTTCATTATTCAATCCGATGATGAAACTATGTGGACGCATAGCCTGTTGTCAAAATCATTAACAATTAAAAATTTGTTTTATAAGATGATAAAATAAGTTTTCTGATTTAGATTTAAAATTCATCCGCCGTGATTTCTTTGTTTAAAATGGTTGTGTCAATATGAGGGACCATCGACTCAAAGGGTAATGGTTAATGGTATGGTGATTCATGGGGTTGGCTAAGACGATTACGGAGGGGCGTAACCAGAAGATATCTAGAATGCCCACGTATCCAAACATAACCCACCGAGGTTGGGCGGTACATGTACATCGACTCAAAAGTTTGCAAGGTAAGGCACAAATCAACCATAAATAACTGGTAGTCCGTCTTCGGGAATATGTTCACTAACAACGTCACCAATTAGGGTTAACAATCTTACTAGTTTTAGTTTTTAGACGAGAGGAGTCTCTGCACTATCTATCGACGAACCGAAATGTGAACGTTGGGTTCCGATTACCATGCATCAAAATAATTTGAGTTTTACTTTTCCGGCCTTTGTTCTTATATAAGATGGACTTTTGGAGATACCAAAATGGGAATGTGCAAAGCATGTAATCACGTCGGGATTGTTATTATTCTTATATTTGAACCGGGTTAATCTTGTAATTACTATTTATTTTTAATTTTTGTTCTATTTTTTTGATTTGTTGTTTCGATATTTTGAAATATTTTAAAGTGTCGTCAAAATCATATCTGTATAAACCATTATAGTTAGTTACCATTTTTGAAGATTTATTATCTTTCTTGAAGATATACTTAGTTGATCGTTTCGGTAATAACGTGATCATTAGTGAAACATTAACATATGTTTTATTGGATTTTAATCATATACTATTACCAATTTCAATAGTTGATTGAAAGGCCTATCTTTTATGGAAGTTTTCAACACAATGGATACATTATTATACTTGAATATGAATAAGAACGGAAATTTATTGAGGTTTTAAATAAAATTTAAAATACGTAACAAAGGAAAGACAAATTTGTGGAAGTTTTAAACACAATTCAAATTGGACAACCAAAGAAAACGATTGATGTAATGACGAGGTCTCATCTTCAAGAACATATTATTATTTGTGTTGTTTAAAATTGACATTATAGTAGAGTAAGAATGTATTTGATTATTAAAACCACTCATATTTTAAAAATACATTCTACGACGAATTTATTGTCAACTATATATATTATTATACGAAAATTCGATTTTGCACACAGTTTCAAATATTGTTAACTTATGACCGGTCTTAATAATCAAATAGTTTTTACTTTGCTATATTGTTGACACTAATCTTATTTTAATGAGAATTACTAATTTAAAACATCACAACTAATAGTAAATTCTTAAAGATGATTATACCTTTATAGAGAAATAGTTTTAGAAAATGATAGTATTTTTGTAATAATAAATTTCATGAATTATAATCATACTAAGATAGTTATTGTTTAGGGGTGGGGAGTTTAGAAAACAAAAGACAATTGGTTTTGGGTTGATCCATTTATACCAACCGTTTGCATTAGCTATGGTACTCTCCATTAAAAAGTAAAGTATAATGCTAATATATTTAGTTTGAATAGTAGTTAAATCAAACCATCAAGATGTAATGATTAATCTACACCAATCATTTCAAAAACCTAATAAAATCTATATTAATAATCTTTGTTTTAGTTAATAATGTTAATTATTAAATCAAATATTAATCCACTATAATTAAGCTAGTTACCTTGGTTTTTTCTGTAACCCTATTTATCTTTCTCCTTCTCTTTCTCTAATCGCCCACCATCCTCAACACCATCGACACCATTTGACGAACACGTTAGAATTTTGGGTATGAGATTTGTAGATATAGAGGGATTGTTTCATGAACTAATTAATGTTGCAACAAATCCAATGTATGAAATTTACTTATTTCTTGTTTTTTCATTCATCCATAACTAATTACATTGAGTATTTTCCGTCGACATAGTAATTAAATCCATGGAGGGCTGCCTCGTGTTTGGATAGTGCCCTACTTTTCAAAAAGTTAATACAGTGTATTTTACTATTTTATAAATAGTAAAAACTTAAAAAAAAATTTACTAATCGGAACCAGAAAATCTTATAGTGTCATATAACTCTTTTTTTTAACCTAATGCAAAAGTTGTGATAATTAATATCATAATAGTAATGGTAATTTAATATTACATGTTTTTTTTTTCTAAAAATGATTTTGTTGAAGACTCGTTCAAAGATATAGCTCATAACGTTGGGCCAGTGTTATACGAAGTGAAATTTATTAATTTTGAATGAGCGTTATATGTTTATATAAAAGTTTAGGAGTCTTTTGTGTGTTTTAATTGTAAGCCTAAATAAAGGTTGTGTGTTTAATGTATTTTGAGTCGACAAATAAAACAACTATTTTCATGTCTTCTGGCAGCATATTGTAAGAAGAAAGGATGCATGATTTGTATTTTTTCTTCGTATCGACTAACAAAATAGTATGTGTTTACTTACCTATCGTAGAACGGTATTCTTACAGAATGTCATTCTCGGTTTCTCATCTGATGTTATTCACACAGAATGTCATTCTTGTAAAATGGTTGGAATCAAGTTGACTATGAACCATTGAAGAAGATCAACTGTATTCGTTCAAGAATTATATATTTGAGAATGCTATTTTTTTTAAGAACTTTATTCATTTTTATTACATTGATATAATATGTATAATTGTATTAAAATGTATAAGACTATTATTATTTAAGAATATGTATGAATTTATATTTACATTCAGATCTCTATGAATTCTGTAGGAATATATATTCTGACATTCTTATAAAATATCATTCTAACAGAATTTCAATATGACAGAATAAAACCGGGTATGATTAAAAATTACATTAAAATTAGAATTTATCTAATTTAAAAAAAAATCATAATTCAAAAGTAAGAGACTCCAATATCCCTTATAATCGGAATATTTCTTTTTTTTTTTTTCTTTTTAACCTGTGTTTCCTAATTTGAAGGTAATGCAAATATACAATACTTTCCTTATTTTTAATTAAATTGTATAATTCTATTTTTTTAATTTAATAATATAGGTAAATCAGTTTTTTAAAATAACTAAAATCATTGGTTAAAATTCATCTATACATCCACACTATAACCTAACCCAACCATCAATAATCTTATCTAAAGTTGACTGATTTTTAAGTACATATGAATAAATACATATGTATATACTAACTTTAAACAACTATATAAATACACACATATGTACTTACTTTTAGATAATGACGACGCTTGAGATTTTTGGTTGTTACGAGAATTTGTTATAAAACACCTTTTATTACAAAAAATGATTTTCTTTATTTATTGAAAACTTGGTTTTTAAGAAAATCTTTTACCTTTTTAATATCTTTAACTATATTCCTAGTAAGAATTATTTCACCTAGATAAACTTACAAGACTCTATAAACATATTATATTTTAAACTATAAGCATCAAGGGCGTGTTCGGCATGGAGCGTTTGAGAACTTCTAACTTCTAGCGTTTGACAAAACGTTCCATTTTGAACAAAAAATTTTGTTTGACAATACAAGCTTCTAGCGTTTGGTTTAAACAAAACGTTCAAAATCCAAATGTTATTTTACGTAGCGTTTAACAAAATGTTACAAGCTACAATCCACCCGCTAACCGCTACCAGCTAGTTTTGCCGAACACGCCCTAAGTAAATCGTTTTCTAGTTACTCAACCCCAAACTCTATCAAAGAAATAGGAGAATTTCAATTCCATTTCCTTGGAGCCTACTTCAGCCCATTAATAGATCTTAAAACTTTATAATATAACATCTCCATCAAGAACACAACACAACAATAATATTATTTATGTAAAGATGAAACAACTTCCATAGTTATAGTTTATATAAAGACAAGCAACACTTGTGATTAACATGTTTAGCAACATGTGAAAAGGTTCCATCAAAATCGATCCTCTCATTTTGATTGTAAGTTTTTCTCAAAGTTGTCCATCTTTGTGAATTTATATTTGCACAGTGTATTGAAAGATTCATTCCTATGTAATCTTAACATTGGTACAGGTTTGATATCTCAAACTTAGCTTAATTAAGTGTAGGTCAATACCTGAAGGACTAAATGTGAGTAGTCGAATAGTTGGAGGGCTATTGTGTATAAGCTGAATGGTTGGGATGTTTGCGATCGACCTTGAAACTTCACATTTGTTCCGACAATGAAAAAACTTTATAAACTCTCACTTCAACTACTCTCACCTTTTTGAGTTTTATTGTGGGGTTGGTTGTAACCGTAGGCCATAGGGTCAAATCCATTGGGATATATGTACAAAACCCAACCCCAAGCTTTTCTTTTCTCCAAGAATCAAACCCTAATCTCTTATTATACATTAATTTTTGTTTTTAGTTTATAAAAAAGACACAAACCCATTAGTATTCAAAAACATCCAATAACAAAAACATTGTGAACTAACTAGAACTCAAGAGATGTTCATTAGCCAACTTCATAAGAACAACAAACGGCTCAATAGTTGCAAGCTTCGCATTGTCCTTAGCTTCTTGCTTAACCTCATACTCAATTGTTGTTTTCACAAGACACGAAGAACCCATCTCATCATTCGGATTATCCTTCACCTCAATCCGAACTCTGTAAAGTGTGAATCCAAAATCCAAATGCCCTCCTTCAATAATCTCCGCTTCTCTCACCTTCTTCTCATCATCAATCATCGTGTACTTTTCTTTATAATATGAAATCCCTGACCCTGCACATATACCAGATAAAAACCGTCAGTGGTACAGTTTACTATTTTTTTTATCAGATAAAACCGTTGAAACTACCTGGCTTGAATGTGACCTTGATTATGGTACCAACGCCACCATCGCCTTCAACGACCTCAAGGTTATCGAGGATTTGTTTGGCGATGTCTCCGAGTTTGATTGATCCGTAGAGATCCCATGCTTTGTCTGCGGGTACCTTCACTTCAACTTCTTCTGATAATGTTCCGAACATTGTGTTTGAAGTACGAGATTTTAATATTGTTCACAGTTGATTCATATGTTTGGTATATGTAGAAGTAAAAAGGCATTGAGGTAGATATGTAGAAGATAAGACATGTGTGGTGTAAGCTAAAACGTGAGTTGTTATATTTTTCTATTTGTCAACCACAATATATGCAAAGTTGTACTATCATAATCCTATTATTATTTAATTTTTAAAATTTTCATATAATTTCACTTAAATTCCAATATCGGATACAAACAGTCATAATCATTTCATTTCTCCTGGTTGGTTTGAAGGTTACAAATGAATTATTTATACATAGTGTTTTGATATATATACTTTGAATTACTTTGAAATTTCAAAATAAGATTATAATAGGAGATGGTTCTTTTCGGAAAGTAACAATATAGTTTATTGAAAATTATGATATCATGAAAAATCATATAATTAAAAAAATGTATACATTTTCATATGAAACAGATATAGAACACTTCCCTTGTGGAAGAACCTAGAGAAGGAATATTATTTCTTTAAAATCATTCAATTCAATCCCATGATAAACTACTAAGAAATTTTTTTTGGTAATACTTTATTCCAGCTTCGGTTATCAAAGTTATACATCAAAATATGAAACACTATCTAACGTTTAGAACACGTTGAGATTGTGACAAAAGAAATGAGATTTTAGCTACTATGCTATTTTGGTAAATAGGTTTGAAACTATACCTATTTCCTATTTGATAAATATTTTTTAAAATACACCTATTTGGTCAAAAAACTCGTTTAAAATTATTAAAACTCATTCTCAACTCGCAAAAAGAACAAATCATATACTAGCAAAAAAGAAATGACTTTAGACAGAAATCCGGTAGTTGTGTTGTAAAAATAGTATAAAATCATTAAAAAAAATAAATAAATAGCTGATGTGTTGTAAAAATCATATAAAACCATTGGAAAATTTCTGAAAACATGAGGTTGATGTCATTTGACCTTTGCTCATCCCTATATTTATTAATTTATATATGAAAAGTGATCATTTTGGTGGTTATCTCTAAAAGGAAACCCTAACCGAAACCGAAACCGAAAAAATTATTCAACTAGAAGTAGAGGAAAGATGATAAATACCCAGGGGGGGGATTTGGATTTTCCCATTGCATAAATCTTAAGGAGTACAATACTTAACTCTACCACAAACCACATATGTTACGGATGGGGTTTAAAAAAACGCATATGTTTCTCTTGCTTCTTCTATGTTTCTTTTCCTTTCAAAATATCCATTTCCCAGATTTACATTTCCACTTTGCCCTTCCTACTCATTCATCATATAACAAAAACAACCCACAAACACAATTCATTTCAATTCCAAAATCAGCTGCACTTCCACTTCCACTTCCAACATCAATCAGCAAACCGTTCGCCCATAACATATCGATGCAATGTAAAGATTCTTTGACCATTTCTCCTGCAAATTCAACAAACAAACATCATTTTCATTTTCTTCACATTTTTGCTCCCTGATTTTACCAATTTTCGTCCTTATTTGAGATTTACCTTAACATGACTGCTTGGAAATGTAGATGTTCTTAAAGTTTCTTGAGTCTCATCCATCATTTTGCGTCTTGGAATGCTGAGTATAAAAGCAGCTTGATCAGCTGTAGCAGCCATAGATGTTATCCTGTACCCACTCTCCCATCTCCTGTGTATTCCTTCACTCGGGTACAGAAAATCAAGCTCCACCACCTACAATCAACAAGGGTAAAATCGTAATTCTACCTTGTTTTCTTATACATCAACACCCATACTCATACTCATACCTGTTCAGAGTATCCAGAGTTTCTCGACATCACAACACCCCACCGATTGCCAGCTGTCGTCATGGAAGTCACGTGAAAACCTTCTTTCCATTTTTTGCTTATCCACTTGAATGGAAACGACTCACTCACTTTATACGACTGCTGTGTGTAAGGTGTCCCTGAAAAAAAATACAAAAATAAATAAATATAATATAAAGTTATATATAAACAATCAAATAAATAAACCTTCTCTAACCTTTAGACATAACAACCAAAGAGCTTCCATTTGCAGCACCAGCAATTGAGCTGATATAAAAATTCTTTTCCCACTGTTCCATTATCCAATCCTGGAGAGCACTTTGTTAGTTATTTATTTAACTACCAATATCGGAAAATTAACTAATAAAAAATAAAAAATAAAAAACCTTGTGAAGAAAGACGGATGATAATTCATAAACTTGAGAACAGAAACCAGTTCCTGCATCCATAATTAGGGCCCAAAGATTAGAAGCTGAAGCCACACAGCTTATGTATAAACCATCTTCATTTCCCTTTTCTACATGCTGACGAAGCCTTGTATCCGCAACATTGTAATGATATCTGTAATTAATTAATTAATATTAATTATTAAATGCAAGTTAAATTACCAAAAAAAAAAAAAAAAACTACCTTTGTTTCATGGGGCGACGCGCATTGTAAACTGATATCCATTGTGTAGCAGGACTACCTAATCTTACTTTCTTTTTTGGTTGTTCGTCTTCTTCTAAATTTATAAGCAATCTACCCCTCTTTTGTCCCACCTAGTAAAATAAAATCAAAAATTAAAGAAAGTAAATAAGTATCTGATATTGATAATTGTAATATTTAAACGAATAAATTACGCAAACTACAAGAAACCTTGAGGGCCCCATCAATTCTGATTGGTCTTAATGATGTAACTGGTTCAATAAGAGTGTCAAAGAAAGATATCATTTTAGCATAATTTGGTTCCTCATCAAATTTCATAATTGTAACTGCTTCAAGGAATTGTTTGAAAGGTGCAGGACAAAAACAACACATGAGCTCAGGTGAGGTCGCCATTTTCTTCTTGCAAACAAGGAAACTTTTGTTGTCTCCCTGTAACATTTAAAAAAATGAATAAATATTTTAAGATGATAAAAGATAATTAATAATAAAAAAGAAAAGAGAAAAGAGAAATGACCTGGTATCCTTGCCATGGTAACCTTCCTTTTATGAGAAATATTAATGTGTATGCAAGTGACTCTAGGTCATCTCTTCTACTACCTGTACGACCTAAATGTGCATGTACACTCGCGTATCTTATTGTTCCCCTGTTATAAAATATAAAATCGAATCATGCATGGAAATTTTTTTGAAGATATATTATTATTATATTTAAATAAATAAAAAAACAAACCTGAAAATATCAGGTCGTTGATCGTATTCAACGTGCTGATTAGATGATGAATCTTTCCATTTCGAAGCTGAAGGAATAAGATTTTATGAATTAATGATGCGAGTTTAATTCAATATTAGGAAACAATATAAAATATAATTATGGGACTTATTTTGTTGTTATAGAAAGCATACCCAAGCCAAGATCGATAAGATATAGCTTCTTTTCATCAACTGATCCAGGTTGACCAAGTAGAAAGTTTTCAGGTTTCACATCTCCATGAACAAACCTTTAAGAAAAGACAGAGATAATTAGGTAATAAAAACCGTATAAAAATTATGCCTCAAAAGGTAAAATGTGAGCAAGTCTTACCCTTTTGCATGAAGCTTTTCAAGAATTGATATTGCCTCAACAGCAATGCAAGCTGCCATACTTGGTGACATTCTGCAAAAAGAAAATAATTAATGATTTGAAAAAAAATATTTAATCGACTAAAAGGGTGTTTTATGTAAGATATTAAGATCACAAAGAGAGTCTTACGATTGGCCTAAAGAATTCCAAACATCCCAAAGACTTGGTCCAAGCATGTCCATGACCTGAAAAAGATTCAATTTTTTTTCATGGAACACCATTGGAAAGTCAAGATAACCATAAAATAAGCAACTGGTATATCCAGGGGTAAAAAAGTCAAAACTTACCAGAATGTAAAAGTCACCTTGCCGACCCTTGTAGTGAACCCATGGAATCCCATAGCATCCATTCAATGTGCTATTGCATTAAAAGGTCAAGAAATTAGAACATAGATAGTTAGATATTATATAATAACCGAAGTCCTCAACAATTAGGGTTTGATCTTTGATCTATGAGGAATACCTGTACGCTTGCCACTCATAAGGAGGACCATAGTTGCAACCTTTACTATTACGATGCTCAAACTTCAATGCTACTTCAACTGCATCTGGACCTGTTCTACCACTGCCACCTGTCACCCTTCTACCAACATAAACCTGACCAAAACCACCCTTTCCCAGCTTCCTTTCAGTCTTATACATAGGGGAATTTCCCACCTGTACTCTTTCAGGAACAGGAGTTGCATTTCCTTCTTCTTCAACTCCCATTATTTTATCAGCACTTCCACCCTCCATATCTTTATCTGCAACACCAGGTTCTACAGCTCTAACACCAACACCAACACCAACAGCAGCTTTGTTATGATTAGGAAGAATCTCACAATGTGGCTCAGGGTCTAAATCAATTAACCTAATGCCTCTGCCTCTACCAGTTGGCCTCACAACAGGGATTGCTGCTGAAGGCCCTTTTGCTACACCTGCAGCATTTCCACCTCTTCCTCTTCCTCCACCAGTTTTCCTTCTTGTTCTGTTTTGAATGGGAGCAACAATGTCTTCAGCTTGATCAACAGGTTGAATATCTCCAATCCGTTTTGATCTACGTGCTCCACTACGAAGTTGTGGCATCGTCACCCATGCAAATTATATCCAGCTCATTTCCCCTAAGCAGCACCTTCAAGCCTCTGATTAACTACACAAGAAGAAACGGATTAGAACGTGTAACAATGGTGGAGTTATCAATTTTGTGCCTAATTCATTGAAATATGTCATCTTTAGGGTACAATAGGAATGGAAATTTGGAAGTATGAGTGAAAAGTTGCTTACTTAGAAAGCAAAACATGTCAAAAACAATATAATACTACTTTTAGCAAAAATAACAAGTTGATAAATATAGAAGATTCTGATTTCTGCACTCTATGCTTTAAGGTTTTGATTCGTTTGGGGACAGAAAATCTACTCCAAAGCGATGGTAATCAACAGCATATACAATATACACATCTATCACATTTCAAATCAACAAAATTAAAACTTGCACAACTTTCTTTGTCAGGAGTAAAAGTACACAGAGAGTAAAAAATAAATTTACTTTGAGGATGCAAAACAATTTCTGGACCAAAACAGTGGAATAGAAGAATCAATAACTCAAAATCGGATAAAAAGATGATGCGGTATCTATGTGAAAAACAAAATCAGACAGTCTGAAGATAAATAAGTCAATAAACCTAGTTCATTCGATCATCAAACGGCATCTAAACTCTGAAGCATTATCCGAGTGTAAACGACATAGACAACAGACACCAAAAGAGGACTCAAAGAAAACCGCAGGCAGATCGTACCTCAGGAACCGCAAAATCAAGTCGATCGGCGAGAAATGCTTGATCAATCCGCACATTCGGCACAGGAAAACCTAATTTTACGAGTCGATCGGCTGTCAGATCTTTCGAGTTAACCTGTTCCTCCACCTTATCTAAACAATTCCAAAAAAAACAAAACCTTCTGCAACAAAAGTAGAAAAACTGATTGATCAATTTAGGGATTTTTAGGAACGAAGGGAAGGGAAACTGATGATAAATTTAGGTAAGAGAGATTCGAGATGAAAGCACGTAAAAATTGCGATGTATTCTTGTGATTCTTGCGGCTATCGGTGTGTTTCTCTCTCTTTTATGTACGTACATTTTTTTTTTTTTTTTGTGTATATATTTACACTCACTGTGTCCTTCTCTCTCTAGATAATTTATTATTATTTTTATTTGAATATTTTCATGAAACTGCCATAGAAAAGTGGAGAACATGAGGCATGCAACACATGTGGCCGTGTAAATGCTCAAATATTGTTTTTTTCCTCCACAAAAAATAATATTATATTTTCTTTTCTTTAGTGTGATAAAATCCATTTTAAAATGATATTTTGACCATTAAAAAAAATTAGGCTATTTGAAAAAATATATATGTTTATTTGAGGTTGGCTTGGAGTCTTAATTCTAAACTGGGTCTTATCTCCGTACTTGATTTGTTTTTTTAGCTATTAACCATGTTTAAATGTTTTTAGGCATGTTGTGTCTTTGTTATTTATGTTGTTAATGGACAAGTAGGTTTGAAATGGTGTATAGGTGCATTTTATTAATTTTTTATAGTTATTATAGTATATTTTCGTTTATTTATTTTATTTCTATATCGAGTACTTTCACGTGTTTGTGTTTAATTGTAGATTTTTAGAAGACTCGTAGTGGAACAATATTAATCGGGATACTTGCGGGAAAAATAGAGGATTTCAAGACAATCTTTTGGGGTCCGAATGATGATGTAGATGATGTTGAGATGATAAAGATTTGCATGATTTTGGGCTTTCGGTTTTTAGCTACTATGTTGGGGGTATGGTGAGCATCTTTTTCATAACGAAGAAAGAGAGTTGCAAATGACGATTTTCTTGAAGGTTTTTTTTGGACATTTTGAAGACTTTGTTTCATATTTTGAAGTTGTTAATGTGTGGTACAATTAAACTATTTTTGTTAGCTTTAAGTATGCATGGCTAAGCACCCATTACCCAAAAAAAAAAAAAAAAAATAATAATAATAATAATAATAATAATAATAATACTTAGTGGCACATCTTTTTTATGTCATTATATTATATTTTTAGTGGTATATTTTATATGCCACTATAAAGTTAATAGATTTAATGATACTTAATAATTTATGTCACTAATATTAATATTTATTAATGACATAAAAATTTAAAATGCCACTAAAACTCTATATTTTATGTCATGTATTCTTTTATATATCACCAAAGTTTTATTGTGTGATTTTGAAACATCCCAAAAAAATAGTCTAAAATTTTCATTTTAAATCATTAATAAAAGCCATCAATATCATCTTTCATATAAAAGTCATAACCATGTATCTCAAAAATATCACAATATTTGTCAATATATAAAAATCATATGTCAAAATCAGAGTAAATCCTCCCAGACTAAATACTGTGGTGTGTGTCATGCAGTCATCCCGAGCTCTTCCCCTTGCTAGCGGAAGTACCTGAAACCAAAACTGAAAACTGTAAGCACGAAGCTTAGTGAGTCTCCCCAACTACCACATATCATATAACATATCTTGGGCCCCGCCCCTGCTACATCGAGTCAGGCTCGGCATCGGCTTTCCCAGCATCGGGCCCCGCACGGCATCGAGCACATCTCGGAATACATGTGAGCATACTCAAATAATACACATAAACCTAAACATATAACTTTAACATTTAAACATTCCTCGGGCCCCGCCCGGCATCAGACTGTAATCCGGAAACATACTAACATTCCTCGGGACCACCCCGGCATTGGACCGAAGTCCGGAAACATACAAGTACAAACATATGCAAGAATCACAAAGATATCAAGCATACAAGCATTCATCGGGACCACCCCCGCATCAGATCGAAATCTGGAAAAGCATATAAACCTACATCGGGCCCCGCCCGGCATCGGACCGTAGTCCGGAACTACTACTAACTAAACGGGCCGGCCTTGGTGCCTTGGACCCGTTCCTACTGGAGGAAACTCACCTCGAATGCTAGCTGTGAAATCTCGTGTGAGGAATCTCTGACGGCTGCTCCAACGACTCCACGGCTATCAATTTCACAATAACACTTAATCAATATCTGATAATCTTTCTTAGGGTAAAATTTTCATTTTACCCCTGGTCAAAGTCAAAGTCAAGGTCAACTCCCAATCGACTCAACTCGTCGAGTTACCTCCTAACTCGGCGAGTTCCTATACTACTCAGACTCGTGGTCAACCGAGTCAACTCGTCGAGTCCCTTCACAGACTCGTCGGGGTCTACCTGGCATAGAATCGGGACAACCCGACTTCAACTCGTCGAGTCCCTTTCTGGACTCGCCGAGTTCCCCTGTCTGTTTGGGCTATCTTAATGGATTAAGCCCCTACACTTCAGATCCTAGCTTCAAACTTCACATAACCCTGAAAATGTCCTTTTAAGGGTAAAGTTTCTAACTTTACCCATTAATACATATTCTTAAAGGGTTTAGCTCAAACCCAAATTCCTTGGGACCTAGAACTTGGTCCTTCAGCCATCCATACACCCAACTAAAGCTTACAAGCTCAGATCTAAACCCCTAACACTACTTGGACACGTAAATTTCCCACCTTTTTCCACATACATGGCCTTTTGGGGCTAAAAATGCCAATATGACACACTATGGCTTGCATGGGGCTCCAATGGCATAAAGTTTTCACCTTTATGTCATATCAGACCCTTTAGGTCCTAGATCTGGAAGAATACCCACTTGGGTCGATCATTCTCCAAAAGCTATCATTCTTGGACCAAAAACCCTCATAAAAATGGACATAAAGAGATCTAATGAACTAATAGCCAAGATAGAAACTTGATTACCAGAAAATGTAGCAAATGGAGTGTAGTTTCTGGATCTACTCTTTCCTTCTTGAGCCCTCTATCTTCTTCTTCTTCCACAAGCTTCAAAAGTACACAAAGATCACTCAAAATGGCTCACACTCTCAAATAAAGCTCTAGGTTTCGTGGATTAGGGTTTGGGACATGGAGGCTGGAAATGAGGCCAAAGGGTGGGGGTTAAGGAGATTAAATAGGGTGTAAAACCCCGAAATTAGGGTTTCACTATGGCCGATCTACTCGCCGAGTCGAGAGCTCTTGACTCGTTGAGTAGATAGCTAAAACCTCTCATATATTCTGCCCTCTACTCGACGAGTTAGGGCTACCAACTCGTCGAGTTACCCTTCCAAAATAAATAAATTAATGAGTGAATGCATACCAGGAACCAGGCGTTCAAATTTTACCTTGTTTGTTTTTATGCCACTAAAAAAATTGAATTTCCTTTTATTATTACCCACCCCAAATGGAATCAATGTTTATTTCTAAAAAACAAGAAAGAAGTCTGGTGTTATAACATAGAAAATTTGTACATTTCCTCCATTTCTTATACCATAATTGATCGCATTTCATTGGACTTCCCATCTTCGTCAACGGTTGTGATGCACAGTTGTAGTTCATGGTGAGTGTCGAATTCTGGTAGTTATAACTATACAAATCAAAGTAATTTGGATTATGAATCGTCTTTCAGAGCTACAAATTTAACTAGTTATGACTATACGATCTCATGACCGCTGATCACCTCCAACTGTTCTTAGTTAAGGTTTAGAAACAAGACAAAGCTACGGTCGAGGAAGCTGACGCAATTATTACGCATAATTCCCCTTTTATCTTCCATCGTAAGGGGTTCAATCTCGAAGCCTTCATCAGATACCTCTTCGGTGCTTTTAATCTTGTTTTATCTCGATTTGGTTCAATAATCATACTTTAATTCAAATTTCATCTGATTTCATCCTTTGTTTATGCACATTGATAAATTATTGTTCGGATTTCTACGGTTGAGTTGTTTTCTCTCAATTTACTTTGAATATAGTCCTGAAGCGCATTATCTTGTTTCTATTTTTTTCGTGATTGTCATGATGTGAGTCGATAGTGATTTATGTGGAAATTTTAGCTTCTCTTTTGATAAACGCTTACTTTTAATGTTGAAATATTACTTCCAGCTCATAGTTTCTCTTCTTAATATGGTATTCTGAGTCCTTAGAAATCATG